ACCATTCCGTGCTACGCCTGCGGTGCGATTGTGTACCTCATCACAGCCTATTTCTCCGACAAGGTGGGTCAGCGCGGCATCTTTGCGGTCGTCGCGTGTCTGGTCTCCTGCACCGGATACGCCATCCTCCTGGGGACCTGGCAATACGGAGCTGGAGCGCAGTACGCAGGCTGCATTATCGTCGCCATCGGACTGTACGTTGCAGTAGGGATCCCCATCACCTGGATGCCGAACAACCTCCCTTCGCACTACAAGCGTGCGACGGGGCAGGGGATGCTCTTCATGCTCTCCAACTTTGCGGGCGTCATCTCGTCGTACATCTACCTGACCAAGGACGCGCCGCGGTACACGCTGGGCCACGCCGTCATGCTGGGCTTTGTGTTCTACTCCGGGTGCGCGTACGCGCTGGTGTCGGTCCTGCTGCGAAGAGAGAATCGGAAGCGAGACCGTGGCGAGAGGGACTATCTTCTGGTGGGCAAGACGGAGGAGGAGATTCTGAAGCTGGGGGATCGGCATCCTTCGTATAGGTATATTTATTGAGTCATACAGAGGAATGTGATGGGTTTATGATTCAATTCTGTGATCTAAAACTTAAATCTACTTGGATTAACCATGCAGTAATTCTCTACAGAGTAGAGTACGTATGTACTCTCTGTACGGAGTACTCCGTGAAGCTCCGTACGGCTCCGCACTCCACACTCCACACTCCACAAACTTTCTTTCCAATTGAGTTAATTACTACTATCGTGGACCCATCCAGCACTCTAAATTAATCTTCCTGTATTGCTTGTTTGGTTTGAGTGGGGTTGAGAGGGTGAACGTATCCGACTGATCCAACCCCTCCTTACTCAAGGACCGAGGGTTCGCCGATGGCGTACGGATGGACTTGGATTCTACGGACTCTCTGTGTTTTGGTAGGAATTGTATATATATTAGTTCTTTGTTTTGTTAGGTTCTGTGTAGGAAAATAGGAAGAAAGAATATGAATGGTCTGTTGGATACAGATATTAGATATACGTAGGCTGGAGGCGTCTGTACACCGCAGTTGTATCACATCAAACTCGTTGCGTGGTCGCGGTCAATCCGTACCATAGGATATCAAGATGATTCCAATGGTATTGAAGGAAGTCAGTGTGAATGTTCTTATTATTCATACTTTTCTACTCCAGAGCTTTTAGGAACTGACTCGTTTAGCAGCATTCTATTCTCGCAAATTCAGGCCCAGGAAAGATGTTATCGGTGGTTTGAAAGAGAGCATATCGATAATACGGTAAAGGAGGCCAATGCACTTCTTGGCGGGGCGTAAATGATCTCTCTATCTAGTTAAAAAAAAAAAGGAAGACATGCGAATTACCCGGTCCTCCAAGAGAAGAAAATTTCACGTAATCCTCTTACACATAGATATAATATCTGGTCAACACTTTTTATCAGTATCGGCTATCTATTTAACATGGGTAAGAAAGTTACCTAGACCAATATTCATCAACCATCACCAATCCTTTGAGAGGTTAGGGTTTGTAGTTGGCCGGAAGCTATACCTGCTTTGAGAAATGCTCCAGTCTTCCTTATATCTCCTTATAGAGAATTGGTTCTATCTAATACTAATATTCATTAGAGTTGCCTAGGGGGTAAAGGCTTAGGGGCTATGGGTAGTCTAAAGGATTGGAATACTCCTACACCTGCAGAGGAGGAATTATGAGGTAAGGGATAGGAAAATAAAGAGCCTAGGCAGCAGATATAAAGATCTTAATACTAGAATGGCAACTGAACAACTAGTAGCTAGCTGATCTCGAGGCACTAGCTAGCAGTTATATATGGCTAGACGTTGCTAATTGATCAGGGATCTATAGAAAGAATAGGGATATAGAGGTCTCTATGTTAGAGGCTGTATACTGGTTGATTAAAGGGCAGTAGGGGAGAGGAAACAATGCAAATGCGCCATGGCAAAGAAAGGTCAACCACGTATTTTGGTAGCAATTGATCAAGTAGATAGCACTTTGTTGTAAAAAAAAAGTAAACAAATATCTACTTTAAAGCATATTTACAGCTAGAATCCGGTATAGCGCAGCAAATATGTACAGTCTTCAAGTACAAACATTCACAGATCAACTCAAATCAACGACTCCAAGTCCACTTGACGACTTTGACTACAACGACGCCGTCACCCCCTTCCCAGTAGGCTCCTCTACGACCTCCGCATCATGCCCAAATAGCCATTTCCGCCGCTCCTCGAACCCCCAGAACACGGGGTTGATGTCGGCGTTCATGCGCATGCGCTGGTCGCGCTTGCGCTGCTCGTCGCCGTCGTCAATGTGCAGGATGTACTGATGCTCGCGCGTCTTGGCCTGGATGAGCGAGGCGCGCGGCCGCCGGATGCTCTCGTACTTCTTCAGCGCGGGATACAGGTTGCTGTCGCGGTGCGAGGCGAGACACTGGCGCAGCACGGCCGCGTCTTCAGCCGCCTGGGCAGCGCCCTGCGCCAGGTACGGCAGCATGGGATGGCACGAGTCGCCCAGCAGACAGGCCTTGCCACTGGGATGCACCCAGGTCGACAGGATGGGCAGGTCGCAGAGCCGCCACTTCATGAAGTCGCGCGACAGCCGGCACAGCTTCTGGATGCGCGGCTCCCAGGACGCAAACCGCTGGCACAGCTCTTCGTTGTTGCCCTTGACCACCCACACTTCGTCCGTCGTCTCGCCGTACGACGTCGCGCAGACCACGATGTTGTACAGCTCGCCGCCCCGGATCGGATAGCCGACTAGATGTGCGTCGGGCCCGCACCAGGATGTCGTCGCCGGCGAGGTGATCAGGTCTGCTAGGTCCGGGTCGGCCAGAAGCTCTTTGCCGGGGATCAGGATGCGATATGCCACGTCGCCCGTGTCGCGAGGGACGTCCGGGCGACCGGTCAGCAGGGGGCGGGCGACCGATTTGATGCCTGAAAATTAGCACTCAGAGTTCCATACAAGCCTTGTATAGAGAGACTGCCTACCATCCGCACAAACAATCAGATCAGCCGTCCACGTCCGGCCATCCGCCGTCGTCGCGCTGGGGGCATCAAAATCATACGAGACGACGCGCTGGTTGGTGTGCACCGCGACGCCGGCCTTGGTGACGGCGTCCAGCAGGGCCGCGTGCAGGTCGTGGCGATGCACGAGGTAGTACGGCGCGCCGTACTTCTCGACGATATTGTCAAAGGGGAACTGCGTGATGGTCGAGCCGTCCTTCCAGCGCACAAAGTGGTAGCGCCGCGAGACGCATTTCTTCATGTTGCCCAGGTCGACGCCCCAGCGGAGGAGGAGGCGTGAGCTGTTGGGGGGGATGCGGATACCGGCGCCGGCCTGTAGACATTAGTATGTATGTACATGCATATAGGATGAGCTCAAGGATGAGGGCTGTCTTACTTCGACGAATTCCGCCGCCGCATCGATCAGAGTCACCTGGTGCCCGTCCTGCTGCAGGGCGAGCGAGGCGCAAAGCCCGCCCAGTCCAGCGCCGACGATGAGGATCTTGCGGGGAACGAAGGCTTTAGGCATGGTGGCTCGCAAGATATCCAGATGAGATCTGTTTGTGCTGACGGTGACGAGTGGAATATATGCGTCCAGCGTCCCCAGCAGCAGTTTTATAGATCTCTTCCCGCAGGTTCACTATATAACCCAACAAAGAAAGATCCAAAAGCTCAGACCGCAGCTTCTAGCGTCTCTTCTTTCAAGTTCTTTGCTTTTTTCCGGCGGGAACCTGCTGCCTCCGCCATCTGCAGTAGTTCGTCGACGATCGAGGGATTTTCCGTTGGGTGGAAGCATGCTCCCGCCGAATCCTTGCAGGAGAACTGTACATACATGCTGGGGTTAATCCGATGAGAACGAACTATTGTTATTATAAGTAATTACCGATAATCATGCCGTCATAGCCGGTGTAGCACTGTGGATTCTTGCTAGGATCGGATTACGCTACTAACTCTTCTTCCGTTCTATCTATTCTATCGATCTTACTGCGGAAGAAGAGTTCCGGGACTATATTTGTTGTGGTTTGGAGAGTTTATAGTAGGATTTTTAATTTATTCTATTTTATTTAATTTTTTTTAAAAAAATAAATAAAATAAACAGGTTGATAACAATTTCATTTGTCATTGAAATTGCACCTGGACAAGCTGAGAGCATTAATCTTGCTGCAATACGTATAATTCTGCAGTATAATATCTGCATCGTATACTATCTACGATATGCTTTCTGCAATATACTATCAGCAACGTATAATATCAGTATCGTATAATATCTGCAACGTATATCTCATTCTTATACCAGACTACGCATATTGCTGGTGTAACTTTCATTGACATGACTACATAGCATAATGTATGTACTGTACATATATGTACTTATATCTTGCCTAACGGCCTCTCAATAAACCGCAAAACCTCCTCGTAAAACCGTTCTCGCCCGTCAATCACCGGCACATGGCCTGCCTTTGGAATCACCACCAGGCGCACCTCGCTCGTCTGCCCGCCCTGGATTTCCTGCCTCATCTCCTCCATCGTCGTCGGCAGATTCGCATCCAGCTCGCCCACCACCAGCAACGCACTCTCCACCGAGGATCCCACCCGCTTCAGCAGCGGGCGCAGGTCGAACGAGCGGTCCCGCAGCGCGTGGCAGCAGGTGATGTATCCTTCTCGCGTCGTCGTCCTCAGCAGCTGTCTCATGCGGTCTGTCTCTGCAGGGTTGGCCTCTCGCCACTCGGCGCTGAACCACCGCTCCAGCGTCTGCTCCGCCAGCGTGGCGATAGCATTGCTGTCCTTCTGCGCCAGCTCGACTCGGGGAGCGAAAACGTCCGGCGTGCCCGCGTTGACAGGCGACGATGTGATGGTATCGGCCACGACCAGATTCCGCACCACGCCCGGGTTCTGCGTCACGAAGTACACGCCCAGCGCGGCGCCCATGGAGATGCCGATCCACGCGTGGATGCGCTCAATCTTCAGCGCCGCGACCAGCGCCGCCACGTCCGCGCTGATGCTCGGAAAGGTTGTCGATGACACGTCCTGCGGCGCCGACGACCCCCCGTGGCCCGGCAGGTCCCATCGCAGCACGCGGAAGCCTTTCGACTGCAGCTCGGCGGTGAACGGGTCCCAGGCGTGGAAGTTGGTCATCAACGAGTTGGACAGAAGCACGACGGGGGCGTCGACGGGGCCGGAGAGGTCGTAGGCCAGTCTCCTGCCGTCAGAGAGAGTCACTGTTGCTGCTGCCATGGCGAAAATGCCGATGCAACTGTTGACTAGAGGATACAATCTATGTATCGATTGTATTCCAGAATCAATGTCAACTGGTCTGATGTAATTGCGTTCCCCGCACTATCTCTCACTATCTCCCGGCATGCGGATGTCTGCTTCCTCGGATGCATGATTCCGCTTCTCTCCTCCTGTCCTCTCCCCAGACTGTATGATTGCATCCCAGCGTGCAAGTATCCGACAGACTGTACCGAGTATCATGGAAGCCCGCAAGGCTCGTCGTCGAGTGCCGCAGGAGCTGAGGAAAAGAGCCCAGCTCTCATGTGACAGCTGCAGGAAGGTTAGCACCGCTATCAGTGTCCTTCAATATTGACCCAGCTGACGCTTGTCTAGCGGCGATGCAAGTGCCTCCGTCCGAAGCCGGATGAAGACTGCCTGGCTTGCCAGCACAGTGTGACACCCTGCGTCACGACCTTCCGGCCAAAGCACGACTCTACGGCAGTGTGGAGACCATCAGTGACCGGTAATGCCCGACACGAACTGACAGATATCCACTGCTAATACGCGTAGCCTGCGCTGTCTGGAAGCCATCGTCAAGGGCGCGTTCCCCGATGAACCCATCTCCACCATCCCCGACCTCCTCGCGCTGGGCCGCAGGAAGGGCTATGCGATGCCCGAGGTGTCGACGGTCTCGAATCAGAATGATCTAGACAATTCTGCTCTACGGCAATTACCTGCGGAGAATGAATCCGCGAGCAGACAGAAACCGGTCCAGTACCGGGACACGCCGCGGCTGGTGCAAGACCCGTCCGGCCGCTCGCATTATATCGGACCGTCGGGCAGTCTGTCCTTCTTCGCTGAGCTGCGAGAGCTGGTCTCTGAACGGCATCCGTCGTCGCGGTTTGCCTCTGACAACGTCGCCGAAGCGCTCGAGGCGAGATCGGAGCCGCTCAATGGCAACAGTCCCCATCCTGCGAATGAATCCCACCCCCAGCTGGCGGCGTCCAGTCCGGCGACCTCGTCTGCAGGCGAGGCCCTGCGGTCTGCCTCCTGTCTGAGGAACGTTCCTCTGGGGACGCTCAACGGGCTGCTGCGTCTCTACTTTGAGAACGTCCATGCCGACTTTCCGCTGTTCCATCGGGCCATGTTTCAGGACGAGTTCGAGCGCTATTTTCTGTCGAGACAGGATCCGCGATCCCAGCTGCGCGCGGACAGCGAGCCCGATGACGGCTGGCTGGTGTGCTTGCACATGATGGTCGCGTTTGGGTGTGTCCTGCAGAGGACGCTGCCTGGAAACGACAGCGTCAACTACGCCCTGCTGCAGTCGGAATGCTGGAACGTGTCGCGGGCTGCGCTGCCGCGTCTGACAACCATGTGCGTGCAGTCGCACGTCCAGGCGCTCCTGCTTATCGCCCTGTATCTCCACAGCATCAACGAGCGCAACGCCTCGTGGGTGCTGGCCGGCTGCGCGGCGCGCATCGCCGTGGCCATCGGCCTGCATCGCAAGGAGCTGCATGGCTCGTTCCCTCTGATCGAGCGCGAGACGAGGAAACGCATCTGGTGCACGCTGTACGGCTTCGAGCAGTTCCTCTGTCTGTCGCTGGGGCGGCCCAGCGCGGTCGACGACGACGAGGTGGACGCCTCCGCGCCGTCGGACGACATGATGAGCTCGAGCAACGGGCCGCCAGGCTACACGGAGTGCAACTTCCAGCTGCAGCAGCTGTCGAGCAGACTGCGGCGGACGATGAGCGTGCACAGCCGGCGGACGATCACCCCGAAGGCGATGCTGAACGACCTGAAAGCGTGGGAAGACGGGCTTCCGCCGCATCTCGTCCTGTCGAAGGGACTGCTGGAACAAGCCGTCCCTGCTGCAGGGCCAGAGCTGGTTGTGCAGTACTGCTCGCAGTACCCTGTCCACCATCTGCGCAGCATCATCCTCCTGCACGTCCAGTACCACAGTCTGGTGATCCTCGCGACGCGGCCGTACCTGCTGATGCTCATCTCCTCCAGCTCCAAAAGCCCAGCCTCCATGCCGTATCCGTGGGACGAGTCGACCGAAGAAACTTCAGCAAACGAAATCACCCTTCTCGCGCGGAGCTGCGTGTCGTCGGCGTCCCGGCTGGCGACGCTCATCCTCATCCTCGACTGGTGCCGCATCCTCAACGGCCTGACCTGGCTGGACGTGTTCTACGCGTATTCCGCGGCGATGGTGCTCCTCCTGCGCATCCTGTGGATCCCGCATCCGTCCGCGGGCAGACACGAGCTCGAGAGGGAAGAGGCGCTGAAGAGGCGCGCGAACACGCTGGTGACGGAGGTGCGGCGGGCGCTGAAGTCGGTGCCCAAGAGCTCGACGATGCAGCGGTTTGCGTCGGTCGTGGAGAATTTTGCAGATGCAGTGACTGCGAATAGCAGTAGCAGCAGTAGTGACGATAACAATAACAACAATAATACCGGGGAAACCCGCCCTGATTTTGCAGGCCATACCTTCCCCGCCGATAACAATCATAATCATAACAATACCAGCACCAGCACAGCTCTCCCCATAGACGGAGTTTCAGTCGACACCACCAACAACAACAAAATACCAGCATCAGCATCAGCATCAACATACGACAATACCGAACCGGACGACGCCCTAACCGAAGCAGCGCGGGTAATCTCGTCCTTCTCCGACGAGGCATTACCAACAGCAGCAGGCACGTCGTTTCTGTGGAACGATTCGTCGATGCAGTTGCAGTTGCAGTCGCTTACGCAGCATATTGTCGACTGGAATGATTTTGAGAGGTTTTTGGGGGGGTTTGGGGAGTATTGATCATGTATATATACGGGAGTATATATGTATTGGTCTGGTTTTGACGAGATAATGAATTGGATGGGATGGATGTCCTAGGAGTTTTGCAATTTTTTTTTTCTACTTTTATTTTATTTTTAGGAGGTTGTGTATATAGTATATGGTAATACTAGGATGATACTCTTTGTTTATTTATTTAATTAATTAATGACAATAATGAATGCTCCAACAGATATTCCTTCCTTCATCAGTAGGTAGGTAGTTGTCTATGGCTTGTACATGTATGTATGTACACCCTTCCCTCGGAGACATATTTGGAGACTTTTTCGTATATACTATATTATATACACTTTTGCTCTCGAAAGGGAAATACCGTATGACTTTGGGGGCCGCTTTGTGAACTAGGAAAGGTAAATCTTTCAACTTTTTTCTTAAAAAAAATGTGGTTCTCTTGCTTTTTCCTTGGGGAAGTAAATATATATCTAGCTCAAAGGGCTCAAAGGAGAGTGATTACAATTCTATCGAGTTGAGTATTCGACCAGGCAAAACTCATTCTTGCATCTATACACCTATCTATCATACGTAACAACCTGAAAAATATCTTCAAAAATATACGGTTCTTTTCGTTGATAAAATGTCTAAGGGAGAGAGAGAGAAAAAAAAAGAAATGGATATATAGTATTCCGGACTGTACAATAATAATAATTATCGCAAAATCATTTACTCAAAATAATTTACGATGATTAGTATGGAGATGGTGCTATATTATATTGACATATACATGTTTAAACAGATTGTAGAATTCCCAGTGTTTACAAGTAGAGATTAGAAAATATTACATTATTATTATTATTATTATTATAATCAGGTTTAACGTCCATACCGAGCCTTTCGGCTATGACAGACCCCGATTCTTGGGCAGAAGCCCCTATTAGTCCCTAATCCCATCTTTGGCCATTCTGAACCTTTTCCTCGCCCCAGGCCGCCTAGTTGCGTAGGGCTTTTGGGCCTTTATAAGCCCTCCTTGTTGCCAGTGTCAGTATGGGTGTCGCCTGCCTACTGCAGGCCACCCTCCCCTATTATCCTTCTCCCTCACGTTCTGCCTCCTCTAGGGCTGCCAGCCCCCATTCATCATCCTTCCGTGTCCTCTCGGCTGCTCGAGCTGCTTCCCTAAGGGGCATCCAACCGTTGTGTCTGCTAGGAACTGCAGGATGGCCTTGGTGGCCTTAGG